TCAAAATAGGAGACCATATTCTATGTATGACTCTGCTCTTATTTGCAATACACAGAGTAGCTCTCACATGTAAAAGCTCCCAGATGGATTTCTTTTGTTTTGGACTGCAGAACTATATGCTTAAATGTACCTAGAAGCAAGGAAAAAGTACATAAAGATGTGTGTGTACATATGTATGTTTAATTTTATGTTTGAAGCTGCCTTTTTGTTAGGATGGTGGCATCTTCAAGTTCAGGTGGATAATGATGACTGTAAGAGATGCAAGGTTGCTTCCCAAGAAAAGAAACCTGGGGATTACAAACTATATGGAATATTTTAGGATCACCTATGAAGCAGAAAGGAAAGGCTCACAGTTTAGAAAGTTACTTAAACAAACTGGTATATAGATTAACATCTCATTTCCATTACATGGAAAATATTTACAGGTGTACTTTTCCCATTAATGGTTGTATAAATTGTCTAATTTGTCTAATCTACTTTTCACAGCATAGGAAATTGAAAGGAACTGAAATGAAATAAAAATCAAAATGAATGCAAGGCATAGTCAGGAGATAATGAGGTCTATTCATGTAGGTCTAACACGTATTTTTTCTTTTCAAAATGGTAACTGAAGAAGTAACAGGCAAGTCCAGCCCTACTGCATGCTACATCATGGTGAAACAGTCTATTTCCACAAGGCCATGTGTTGTGACTGGTAGGGAAAATTACTTTTGCTACTTTTGGACCACCTTTAAGTTGATATAATTCAGGATATATATGTTAGTAGTACATCACAGTTGTGGAAAATGTGTTTAAGCAAGGCTGTTTCACTAATGAGAGTGGGGCTTGGCATACGAGTGCTCTGGAGGTGCTCACCCTGTGACACAAGTGGATTTTGGCAAGTGGGTGCAGTCAAGGGAAAAGATGGTTGGCACTACTGGGGCTGCTCTTGGCAGCCCTCTGGCACCCCTGGATGGGTTTAGTTTCCCTCAAGCACAAAGTCTGTCTACAAGCAGCCTTCAAATCAAAACCTCAGGGGTTTTGGTGAGCTCAAATCTGGCTTCAGGATTTTAGATTGTGGAGACTTAAGCATGCTGTTTACTCTTATTTGGTTAATTTTGGCACAGAATGCAAGAAAAGCTTAGTCAACGGAGTCTTGGGATGGTGCTGGATTTTGAATGCTGGTTTTCCTTCACTTTAATCCCATATGGAAGTAGTGATCCTGGCAAGAATTTCACTGACTTCAGCAAGGATATGTCTTCTCAGAGAGACCATGCCCTTCCACCAGTAACAGCTTCATGCAGCTAAGAATTTAGAGGGAGGTCATAAAAATATATAGAAAGGAGGTTACATTCCCAGAAAAGAATCACTGAAGTAGCTTTGAAAATGATTTTTCCAACACTAATAAAGAAAATGTAATAGACCATTTTATGCTCCTGTCCTTAGGCTATGCCTTATACCATGATCAATATAAAAGAAAATTATATTTCCTTGATTACTCATTCAAGCAGAAAATGAGTTCTGTTACCTGAAAATTTAGAAGTTTCCCAAGTAATTGGATAGCCTTTGTACATCTTCAATTTTGATGTTATTGGGTAGTTCATGTTATTTACTGAGATGTTTTAGTCTAATCATTTTTTTGACAGGTTAAAATATCACTATTACAGTGGGAATATTCTCCTGACAGTGGAAACCATTTAACAAATTAGATGCTGAATGCAATTTGCTGGTCAGCGATGCAGAATATACAATGCATGTGCAAGAAATAGTTTAAATATCAACTAGAAACTAACTATGTAAATTACACAAAAAGATCCTGCATTGTGCTGGCGCTTTCTCCTTCTTTCAAGAGTGCAGAAGATACCGGCAGAAATAATTTGAGCAAATAAATTGTATAGAAATCTGTCTGCTCCAGAATTACAGGCTCTTATTTCAGTGCTGAGCACACTTAAAAAAAAATAGAGTTTAGGTTTTGAAGGAGAGTAGATTAACCAAGAGCATTCATCAATTCTCTCTGGTACTCATACAATAGTCATCAGTCTTGAGGGGTGTCTTCCAAAGACAGGCTGGTAGTTTTCAAAGTGTTTGTAGGGAAGATCTGCCGCCTTGGCATGCAAGAGTATCCCTGAGGCTCCTTAGCCCTGGTGTGGGTCCTGTTTGGATTTGTGACTAGTGCACAGCAGCAACAGCAAGTCAACTGTTACAAAGAGAGGTCTCCCAGTTCCTGCATCTGCTGAAGTTTCAGAAGAACTGAGGTTTAACTTCAGCCAGCACATCCCCACTCACCCACTCTTTCTTCCCCCCAGCTGGTGGGATGGGGAGAGAAGCAGAAAAGTAATAGTGAGAAAACCTGTGGGTTCAGATAAAGACAGTCTGAAAGGGAAAGCAAGAGACACCCACACAAGCAAAGCAAAACAAGGAATTAATTCACTACTTCCCATAGTCTGGCAGGTGTTCAGCCATCCCCAGGACAGCAGGGCCCCATCACATGTAACAGTGAGTTGGGAAAACAGAGGGTTTTGTTTTCTAGTTCATGCACAGAACCACCAAAAAGAAAATCTGTGTCTTTCATCCTTATATTTCTCCCCTAATCCATTTCTGATGTCTTCAGGCATCAGGCTCTGTTGTTGTCTTCTTGGTAATTTCCCCACTAGCACTAGACTGCATGTATTATATCTTGTTTCTTTTGACTGTGTCTTTGTACGGGCACACTTCTGGGTTTTTTCCCCTCTAAATCTCTCAAAAGAGGTGTACTAGCCAGATGGTTTTAGTTTGCACGTTATAAAGATTTCATAGGTATAGAATAATCAAATAGAATCATTATTTTATATGTAGAATTTGCTCAGGCATGGGCCTCTTCTATTCCTTCCTAGCTCCTACCATCACTATTACTACATCTCTTCAAAATGCTGCCCAGGCAGAGACTGACAAAATAGGAAATTAATTAGTGAGATGGCTCTAATGTTAATTTTTTTTTTTTTTTGGCAATTCAAGATAAAATAGCTCTGAGAGATAAGTAGGAATGTTGTTTGCATTCAACTGCACCCACCATCTCTAGTTTTTGACAGTTTTTTTATTTCATTTGTGACTGGTGCAGCAGAAGTAAGTGACTGCAGCTTCTGCTGTGTTCAGTATTCACAATCCTGTGGATTCTGTGAATTTCCTCTCCCGACTTTCTTCCTGCCTCCTTGTTTCATGTGAGGATCCCTTAGAGCTTCGCTCTTCATCTTGTACATGAGGAAAGTGTCAGAAGGAGATTAAGGTTAAAATGTCAGGTTTCTCTCATTTTTAGGTGTTGATTTTATGTGTCCAGGCCCCAATCCTTTCAAGTGTACTCTGCATTATTGGACTCTCAGATGGAAGCTGCCCTTTGAAAACTATCCATTGTTGCTTCTTGCTTTCTATATTCTTCTTGTTAAAAATCTCTTTAAGCTGATGGGTGTGCTAGATGCTTTCCATTCTAGCAGAAAGTGGGAACAATGGTGAGCCCCTTTGTTTAACAATAATTGGAACATGGGAAGCTACTTCAGAGACTACTCTGAATGCCAGTAAAACCTGGAACTGTTGATCTCCTTGTGGGTGGGTGTGTGATCAAAATAAGCAAGGAAAGAGTCAACTGAAAAGAGGAGTGCATCTAGTATGAACTTGAGAGAAGAAGAAAAATTGCTTGGAGCTTTTTGTAAAAAATATTTCTAGAAGAATAAAATGAACTTCCAAATGATTATTTCCCTGATCAGAGAACAAGTGATTACATGTATTCTGCAAATAAACAGCCAGAGAGAGATGAGTGCAGACCCCACATAATATAGAATCATGGACTTAGAACAGAGGTAGACTATAAACACTCACCAAAAAATGGTCTAATGAGCACTTGGATTAAAACTGTGGTAGATTGGAACTGGAGCCAGGACAGTCTACACATACATGCTGTTTATCTTCTGTTTCCTTTAGCAAAGCAATAGGTAACGCGTTCTCTGCTCATACATTGGCAGCATATTTTCTCTAATGTTCTATTACATTTAAAGCCTATTTGCATTGAAGAGCTTGCCTAAATTCCTAGTGATTCTGGAGAAAACCCACACCTCTCTCCCT